CCCGAGGAAGCTGAGCATATGGGCACAGAGGACAAACACGGCTTGTTTCAGGTCCTGAAACCAAGTCAGGAGAAACCCAGGATCTGCAGGCCCAGGTATCGGGTCATGCCAACGAGGGGTTGTGGGACCTGCTGTTAGAGGACGAGTTTCAGTCTCAACTCCTGCCACCCCATCCAGGCCCAGCAGAGCTGCTCTTAGCCAGGACAGCTGCTGGGCTCCAGAGGCATCTCAGGAGGGACCAGCCTGCTGCAAACCCCTGCGAGATGCCCAAGGTCCTGCTCCCCTAAAGCCAGAGAGTGACCCCCACAACCACCAGTCACCTCCTCACACCACCACAGGACACGACACAGACACAGCACAAAGGGACCTTCTCTCCTTTCCCAGGAGAGAGGTTTAACAGCAAGAACATTCACAGAAGAGTTTCTAGATCAAACTGTTCCCAGTTTCAGGCAGGGCTAACTCAGTTTTGTGTGCAGAGACAGCTGAAGCCAAACTAAAGCACAGCCCCCACAACCAAACCCCACAGGTTTAATTGCACTTTATTTCTCAAGAAGTGAAATGCAAACCCCTCAGGCTGTCTGTGACAGGGGACAAGGACTGGAATGTGTATCAGCAACGACCTTCCCAGGGCACTGCCAGAGACAAGGGGGGTCCTGAGGTTGTGCCTGGGCACCTACACAGCCCAGGGCAAGGAAAGGGACCCCCCAAAAATCCAGGTTTCAGAGCCTGCCATGTCCAGCACCAAGTAATTCAGTGCTTTCACTTCTGCTGTGGCTCCCCAGGCACAGAGACAAGCACTTGCAGGGCAGGGGGTTGGCTTCTCCACAGGCTTTGGGCTCTTCCACAACTTCAGGTGTTTGGCAAGGTGCAGCAGGGAGCACAAAGGGCAGGGACCTGTCCTGCAGCATGCTCCACATGGGGCACACCCAGCACACTATTTTCCTCCCAAGAAATCCCATTTAGGAGGGCACAGATCAAACCCAGTCTGTAAGACTGGAGAGAGAAGAGGCAGGTGTAGAAACTGTAGTGGAACTACTTTAAGTACTTCATTTTATTAAGGGAGGGGGGTTATTGGTGTTAAGGACACTAAGACCTGCTCCTAGCTGGAAGTTGTGTTAGTGCCAGTGAGCACCCCAGTAAAAGTGCTGAGACAAGGTGTCTGCCCTGCTGTCTGTCCTCACCTTCCCCTCTGGGGCCACACAGACTGAGCAGTTATCCCCCAACCCCTGGCTGCCCAGCAGAGGTGGGGTCACAGCTTATGTCCCACCCTCCCCAGGTTTTAACTCGTGCTCTGTCACACCTGCAGCAGCAGCAGCAAAGGCACAGGAGGGGGCTCGGCTGCCAGACAAGCAGCACGTTACCCATCTGTGCTGCTCCTGTCAGTGAGACATCCCTGTGAAAAGATCTCCCCTGTGGACACAGAGGAGAGGAGCTGGCTGTGAGCCACCTCTGCAGGGTCTGTGGGAGCCCCGGGGGCCCCTGTAAAACCCTGCTGGGGATTTGGCTTCTCACAGCAGCTGTGACTAGAAGCTACATCTGTGCTCGGAGCGCTGGGCTGACAGGGCCTGACCTCCACCCGCTGCTCCTGCCCAGCCAGGGCCTCTCCAGGGACAGGCAGCTCAGCCCTGGGGCCTTCCCCGGGCTGCCCACATCCAGCCCGTGGCTCAAGGAAGCTCCAGTGACTCAGCTGAGTCTCCCCCTGCACACTGCCCAGAGCTGGTGGGGGCCTGGGAGCCACCCTGGGCACTAATATCTAAGGAGATGTTCAGTGGGGAAGAATGTGAGATTTTTACTGTGGTTAGGTTTTGGGTTTTTTTTAAAGCAGTTCCTTGCTGCAGGGGCCTGTCAGACTTGTTCTTCTGAAGTACTTGACAGAGTTCATATCTGCATAAAGCTTGTGATTAACAAATCAACAGCTCACAGGAGCAGGACAGCAGCACAACTGGCTGGTTCCCCCTGCTTGTCCCAAGCCCTGCACTCCCCTGTCCCAGGGAGCACAAAGAGCCACTTGCTCCTGCAGACAAGGCCTGAGAGAAGAGCCTGGGAAGTCCCTGGTTGTCCACAACTGTCCCACGTAGGCAGCTCACTAAGTGCCAAGTGCATAGGAAGAGGTCATGCCCAGAGGAGAGGGCTCATAGAATCACCAGCCAGATCTTCATCCCAGCCAGTCCAGATCATCATCATCATCATCAAAGAGGAGACCTGGAGGGGGACGCCCCTTCAAGCTCTGCAAGTCAAACCAGAGGGAAGCTTGTCAGTCTTAGCAGCTTCCCAGTATTCAGGAAGTGCCACACAGCTCTGGCTCTGAAATCTCCACCAGCTCCAGGAGATGATCTCCAGCAGCCTCATTACTCAAGGTTTTCTTTTTCTTATGGGATGTGTTAAGAATCCAGGGGCCCTGCTGACAGGGCAGAAGGGATAGGAGAGGGGCAAGACACTAACCCCCTTCAATTAAGCCAGCAACTCTCACTGCCTTGATGCCAGCAGGAGTTTGTCACCACTGGCTGAGCCCAGGCAGCCCCTCCAGGCTCAGCAGTGATCCCAGACACTGGGATTTGCACGGAGAACCTGCAGGAGCTGGTCAGTGCCCCCTGCCCTGGGAAGGATTTCACAGACAACCTACAGGTGAATGCCTGAACCAGTTCAGGAGGAGTGGAAAGACACAGGTACATACCACCTCCTCATCATCCTCCTCTTCAGAGGGAACTTGAGGCTTCAGTGGTTTGCGAGATGCTGCTTCAAAGAAGTTGTCATCCTCAAAGGGGCTAGAAGGAGATGGAGAATTAACAGTTCACTTGCATGTGAGGGGATCTTGGGTTTACAAGTTCTGTTAAAAAATGATACAGAAGTTCTGTCACTGAGGCAGACTTCCCAGGCATGTATTCTTCACCAGTGCAGAAGGGTACTGGAGCTGGCAGCCACCAGTGTGAGACCCTGGGGAGACTGCATGCTCCCCCTGCTCAGCTGGGACCCACTCACCAGGGGTGACAGCAGCACTGTGCTCCCCCTCCAGGGCTGCCCAGGGCAGGGGTGGAGTCCCCATCCCTGGAGGGGTTTCCAAGCCATGGAGATGTGGTGTGAGGGACACGGGGCAGTGGGGACCTGGCAGTGCTGGGGGCACAGTTGGACTTGATGATCTTCAAGATCTCTTCCAACCAGAAGGATTCTATGATTCTAAGTGGGACTGAGGTGACCCAGCAGTCACACCTTACCTGGAATCTTTGTGCCTGGGGCTGGAGCCCAGTTCCTGCTGTGTGGGTGCTTCTCTGCCAATAGCTGAGCTTGGCTCTGCTGTGCTGGATCCTGAGGCAGGGTCCTTGGAGCTGGCTCTGTCCAACGGGTCTGTGCAGTTCCCTCCCTCACCATTAAAGGGAGGGGGCTCCAAATCTCCCACAGGCTCCTCTGCCTTCTGCTCCACAGCTGGCTGTTCTGGAGGCACTCTCACATCTGCTGCTCCTGCCTTGGCTTCTAGAACAGAAGGTTCTGAAAATTCTGCTTGCAAAGATGCTCTGGAGGGACTGTGCTCAGTCTCAGCTTCCCTGATGGGACTGCTCTCCTGCCTTTGCTCAGCTGGGACAAAGTCCTCACACAGGTCTGGAACAGGCTGTCCTGCAAGCCCAGGATCCAGGCAGGGCTGGGCTGTGGAAGACAGATGTTCTCCCTGGACCTTCTCCTCTTCTGACACCCCACTGCTCTGTGTCACCTGCTGCTCCTCAGGAGTTCTGGGCCTGGCAGACAGAGGAGCAGAGTCTCCATCTTGGTCAGACACCATGGAGCCCGGGGCTGCTTCCCCAGGATCAGCTGGAAGCACAACACCCTGTGCTGGGCTACGCTGCACGGACTCTTCAGGGTCAGTCTTTGCTCTAGGTGATGCCTCCTGTCTCTCTGTTCCTCTTCCAGGTTCCTCCTTTTTACTGTCAAGATCTGGTTTCTCCTGCTGCCTGTTGAGCAGCTGCAGTGTTACAGTCTAAAAAAATGGCATAGAGAAAACACAGGCTATACCCCAAACATAAGCCACCACAGATCCCTTTATCTTCTACTACGAGGCTGCTTTGCCACCCACAAACTTCTGCTTCACAGTTACTTCAGACTCACAACATAAATTTGTGGTTGCAGCCCAAGACTTGTTCTCTCACACTGATCACCCTGTGTCTCCTACCACTGTTGTACCTTAATCGTGTTCATGACCACACCCAGGACTGTCCTGCCACTGTACATCTCCTCCAGCTCAAATTCACCCCGAAGGGACTGAAATACACCATTCATTATCTTCTTTACCTGGAAACAAAGACAGGATTCATTAACATCTCAAGCAGCACACTCAGATACTTCTCCACGTGGAGGAACAATAAATCCAAACACACAATTTTCAAAGAACCCATTTTTCAAACCAGAAATTCCCTTAATGAAGCAGAACACATCATGCCCCCTTAACTCAGAACCATCACACACAAACCCAACCCATCCCTCTGAAACTGAGCTGGGCTGCAAAAACCCATGGCAGACTGACACTTAGTTCTTATTCCTCTTTCCATTTTTAAATCTAAGCCCTCAAATCTTGAGTTTTAACCTAAAATAAAACTCCCCAAAATCAAACAACGACGTGGGCAGCAGAATATCACATCCCTTCTCGACCCTGCTACTAGAAACACAGTGCTTCTGTGGAGAAATGAATGTTTCTCCTCCTCTCTGCTCAGAGAAGTAATTGAAGGTAGATGGGTTGGCTCAGTAAGGGGTGCTGGACAGTGAAGCTCACTTCTTCTGTGAAGTCTGCAGGTGAAGATCCATCCTGCTCCTTCTCCAGGTCCCGGGTGCGTCCCTCGTAGCGAGCCTTCAGCACCACCAGCTCAGACTGCAGGGCTGCACACTGCCAAGGGGAAACCCACAGCTGGGACAGCTCCACAGCCCCCACCACAGCCCCAGCCAGGGAGGGGTGAGCTCTGAACAGTTCTTTAGTTAGTGAGGGGTAAGCTGCTGAGGGGAGTTTTAAGTGGGATTTTGACAGAGATGCAAATGACTTGGCTGAAAGTAACAGCACCAAAATAAAGATATCCAACCAAGCCAAAATCTTGGGGGGTCCAACTATGTCATTAGCTCTTCAGGTTCAAGTAACACTAAGAATGGGGATAGCTTTACCAAGGTGCCAGAGAAATGAGGGCTGGGTCTCACCACTGGACCTGTCTGGGTTTGCTGGAAGTTATTCTTTCCCTCTCATGTTCCGGAACTCACGTTCCTGTTGCTCTGGACATACTCAGCACTGTGTTATTCCCTTTACCTTCTCTGCAACAGGCTCTAGTTGCTCCAAACGTTGCTGGAACTCAGACAACTTCTGCTCCTCTGCTTTTTTTGACTGTTTCAGAGCAGCAAGCTGAAAGACAAGCACTAGAGCCCATCAGTTTACAGCCTCTTTCAGTGTCACCCACCTCCAAACAGCTTCTGCTCAAGAACAGTCACTCAGAACAGTGCAATAGGCAGAAGAGATTATAGCTGTTGCTTTAGTCTGAGTCTGACATCTTTGCTCTCCCTCATTCAGGAGTCAATTCACCAGCCCACCAACCCAACAGAAGTGATGCAAGTACAGACACATCCCGTGGACAAGACCAAATCCAAAGCAGTCAAGAAATGGGAAAGTCAAGCCCAGTTTGGGGGGAGAGGACTGTTGGTTACAGTGGTTATCCAGCATGACATTTCAGCATGAAGAACAGCCCTTTACCTTCTCTTCCAGCTGTGCCACCTGCTGCTGCAGGGCATCTCTCTGCTCACACACCTCCTGGTGCTGCCTGATGTGCTGCTCCTTGGCCGCGGCCAGCGCCCGCTCACATCGGGCCTCCCACTGGGATTCCAGCTCTGCCTGGAGGAGTGACAGCTGCCCATCATGTAAGAGATCATTAGGAACACAAACACAGCCAGCCTCTATATGCACAAGAGGCTGGACACCACCTCCTGCCCAAGGCTGGAACACCTACATGCTGATGGGAGCCCTGCAGCTGTGCCCAGCTCCTGCCCACACCTCTCAAGAGTTCAGTTCTGGCCACAATCCTTCAGGCTGGCCTGAAGCTCTGGTTCACATTTCAGATCTCCTGGCACATTTCTAAGCAGCCTTTCACCCATCAGCAGTCCCATATCCCTCTCTCTGCTTATAAACTTGATTTGGTGCCTCTCCTTCCCTGTCAAGTCAGAGGTGCTGCTGTATGTGCCAGCCTGCACCAAACCTCTACAGGATGGTCAGAGAACGACTGGGACCCAGCAGCCTCCCTGCTTACTCAGATCATGCCCTTCCTTAGCCAGACATCAGTGTCAATCCCCAAGGCAGAAGCAGGGCCAACAAACACCAGCAAAGACATTTTAGGAAGACGACAAAGTGAACCCCATGTTAAAGTCAACCCTTAAAGTCAAGCAGTGAACGTTTTCTTTCTTCCACTACCCTGAGCATATTTGCAGCTATTTCCTACCTGCAGGTTTCTACAAACCTTCCAGGCACCTGCTGGAGAAGCCCCCACAGCTCCTCACCTGCTCTGCTGCTGCCTGGTCTGTTGAAGTCCGTGCCTTTTTCAGCAGCTGTCTCAGCTTGTCCAGCTCCTGCTGATAGGATCTGCGTATCTCCTCCATCTCCTCCTCTGCCTGAGCTCTCTCTGAGAGGGATTTCTTCTTCCTCTCTGCAAGATTCTGCAATAAAGAACAGGACATACAATAGGCCAGACTGCACCGAAGCAGAAAGAGCTTCTTTGAGCAGGGAATCTTATCATAGACTCAAAGGTTGGAAAAGACCTCTAACATCAAGGCCACCCACCAACCCAACACTGCCACGACCACTAAACGATGGCCCCAGGTACCACATCTATGTGTTTTTTGAAGCTCTCTGGGGATGGGGACTCCAGCATCTCCCTGGGCAGCCTGGGCCAAGGCCTCACCACTCTGCCAGGAGAGAAATTCCTGCAAATAGCAAATCTAAGCCTCCCCTGGTGCAACTTCAGCCCATTTCCTTTCATCCCATTGTTAATAACCTGGGAGGAGAGACCAACCCCCACCTCACTCCAGACTCCTGTCAGGGAGTTGTAGAAATCCAGAAGGTCTCCCCTCAGCCTCCTCTCTCCAGACTAAGCCATGTTACCCAGGGCCCTCCCCAGCTCCATTGCCCCTTTCTGGACCTGCTCCAGCCCCTCAAGGTCTTTCTTATCCTGTGGCACCCAGACCTGACCCCATACTCCAGCTGTGGCCTCCTCAGTGTTGAGTCCAGGGACATGATCCCTGCCCTGCTGCTGCTGGACACACTAGTGCTGATCCAGGCCAGGATGCTGGTGGCCTTCCTGGCCAGCTGAGCACATGCTGACTCGTTCAGGCAATCTGTCAACCAGCACCCCCAGGGCCTTTTTCACCAGGCAGTTTCCAGCCCCTCTTCCCCCAGGCTGTAGCCTTGCTGTTGTTACTGAAGTTCAGGACCTGGCACTTGGCTTGGCTGACCTTCAGACAACTGACCTCAGCCCATCAACCCAACCTGTCTAGATCCCCCTGCAGAGCCTCCAGACCCTTGAGCAGATCAACACTCCCACTCAATTTTGTGTCATCTACAAGCTTCCTGAGGGTCATTTTAAAATCACACTGAGATTATTTTAGAGGTAGGGTGGTTAATATATTACTGGCTAAGATAATTTAAAAAAATAAAATCATCCAGGCTCAGAGGATCCACCAGCACAGGGATCCCTGTGTACAGATGAGTCAAGATTTATCTAACTTGCATGTTTAAAAGCATGAATGTTGGGTTAAATTTCAGGAAACAGCTGAAATCCTGCATCTCTCTAATGCTGGCTCTGCACTCACCCTTTCAAGAGTCTCCTTTTCCACCTTAAGGTCTGCAAGTTCTTCTTCCAGGGCTGTCATCCTCAAGTCCAGCTGTTTGCGGCTCTGCTTCTCAGCTTTGAATCTGGTTTGAGTGTCCTCAGAAGCTTCTTGGAGCTCTGCAAAAAGACACTGCTGTGGGTTTCAGCACTGCACAGATTTCAGGTTAGCACAAGGGGGGGCTGATGGGAGGGGACAGCATCTCTTGCACAGTGACATCCACAACACGCCCTGCACCTGCAGTGGGAACTGGAATTTATCAAGAGCTTCTTCTGTGAAGAGTGCTTATACCTCACCTTTTATCTTCAGCATCTCTGGTTCCTCTACAAGAGGAATATACTTGACTTTAAATAATAATAACCTAATACCTAATACCTGAAAACATAAACAAGTCTACAAACCTCTTCCACCAACACTAAATCCACAAGGCAAATTCACTTCAGTTGGCCATAACTACACAAGCTCTTGTGCAAGAGACAGTAATGCTTCTACAGAAGGCACCCCTGTGACAGGATGATTTTGTTCACCAATTCAGCCCAGTTCCTTTTAGTGGGCACACCTCCCCTTCAGCCATTGCAGTGCAGCCTTCTCACATACCCTTGTGACTGACCCCAGGGAAAGCAGGAAGAGGTACCCCAGAAGAAAGGAGCTTATGACTTATAAAAGGGGAAGGAGGAGGAGGTGAAGGAGCTCTCATGGAACAGGCACTCGAGCTGTTACCTGCTAGCTGTGCCTGCAGCTTGCTGAGCTGTGCCTCGTGCTGCTCAGCCCCCTGCAGTGCAGCAGAGAGCTGCCTCCTCAGCTCCATCTCCTTCTTCTGCTGGGCAGCCAGCTCCAGCTGCAGCTGGGAAACCTGTGCCGTGGCACCTGCCAGCTCCTCTGCAACTTTGGCCTGCAGCACAACATGGAACAAAGATAACAGGAATGGGAGTGTGAGGAGGCACCATGACTTCTCCCCCAGGAGCTGATAAGGTACTGGAGAACTCATTGAGGATCCAGCACCTCACAAACGTCTCCAAACTGAAGAGGTAACAATAAATGAGCTGATAAGGTACTGGAGAACTTATTGAGGATCCAGCACCTCACAAAGATCTCCAAACTGAAGAGGTAACAATAAATTTTTGCCATGGTGCTAAGAGTTGTTTGGCTGTAACCTGCCTGGACTAGCTAGAAAGTTTCAGAAAGCCACCAGCCACCTCATCACCACATCAGTGAGTTTTCCTGAAAGGCTTACATGTGTTTTTAAGCCTAGCACCAGTGCCTGGTGGCTCTGCCCAGAGTTTTTACTCTATGACAACATCTATTCAAGTAGAAGTGTGGGCTCCAACATCCAATTATCTTCAACAAGCTTACAAATCACTGAAAAGCCACAAGAAACATAGGCTTGTTGCAGCCAAAACGACACTTCCCTCCAGAGCACACAGCACAGTCACCCTCAGGTGCCCCCAAGGGCAAGGCTGTCATTTTGGAGCACAGTTCTCACAGTAAGTTGTTGACCTGTTTAGATTTAATATTGCTCAAAGTCAGTGACCCATGTAAAACCAGGTACTAACACAGCTTGTTGGACAACCTGCAAACAATGTTAGGAGAGGCTCAAGGCATCAAGACAAAGACACAAAATCACACTCCCAGTCTTGCTGCACGACACACAAAATTCAGAGGATGCTCCTCAAAGAGGAGAATGTTTTCTACACTCATCAGAAAACCTCACTTGTGGCAGGGAATACCTGAACAGCTTCTACATCTATGGCTACATCCAGATCCCCAGTAGGATTTCATTCCTTGTAACTTCCAAGTTCAGGAGAACTGGAGTTTCTCTCTGCTTTGTCTCAGTAAGAGAACTAAAGTGTTTCTCCTCAGACTAGGACCATCATCTTCTGGCAGAGGAGAGCTGTGAGCAAAATTCTTTCAACTCTGGTGAGGATGGGTACATGCTGACACTGAGGGCTGGGATACACCATTAGTTTTAAGGAGGAGGCAGCATTTTAACAGAGGCTGGCTCCAAACAGATCTGCTTTCCTCTTGTGTTTCCATAAATGTCTCACTGCAGGTCAAAATACCAACACCTGGCATGCTAAAAATAAACCAAAATGCTGTGGCATATCTAAAGGTATTTTAACACTTGCCTTTATCTTTAGTGGCAAATGAAGAAAAACAAAAAGGAAATCCTATGCCAGGAACTGTTATTAGACTTAAGTTTCTGCAGCAAATGCTTCATATCTATACTAGCTCAGCTCCAGCCTCCAGCTTTCAGGCACCAAGAATCTCATGTGATCTGTACCTGCTCTGACAACTACACAACCATGTCCTGTGTCTCCCCTGGGGGAGGTGAAACGAGCAGCAATGTGACAAAGTTCTTGGAAAGGGCTCCCCAAGAAAGCTGGGGGCCAGCTGTAAAGCCCTTTTCCAAGCTGGAGGCCAGCTCAAGATCTGAGGCCATTCTTCCAACGCCAACCAGCTTCTTGCTAGTTGGAGGGCAGCTGGGCTGGCACGACCTGGGGCACAACTCTGTCAGCTCCACAGTCAGCAGACACTGCCTCACCTGGTCCCAGCCCCGCTCCACCGGCAGCGTGTGCTAGGAAGAGAAAGCAGTGACAGGAAAGAGGAAGAGTTAAGAACACAACTTGACAGGCAGAAGCATTAATCAGCATCAGAAGAGCAAACTGCTTTATTACAGGCGCCTCAGGCATGCCAGAGAAGCCTTCTGAATCATTTCAAGAACTGTAAAAGCTTAGACAGAAAAAGGCAGTGATTTTTCCTTGAAAAGGAAGAAGCCAAAGGTGTCCTGAGGGGTGGGTGACACCCCAGGGGTGCAGGAGTGGCCCCACGTGGGACTGTGTCACTGCACTGGCCAGTCTGGGCTGCTCATTATCGTGCATGGAAAGCTGTGACATGCTCTGCCAGGGCAGGAGGTCTACAACCCAAAAGCAGCAAGCTACTAATACCTCTTTGCAGTGATCCTGGGTAGAGATCAGTGATCCTGTTCACAAAATAAAAAGTGAGTCTCTGTTTTTAAGGTAAAGAATAGATAAAGCAACTAAAAATTCTCTTCCCCGATTTCTGTCTGTGCACAGTGAGCTCAGCAAGTGCAGGCACAGGGTTAGCTAAAAGCAAGAGGAAGGAAAATCAGCTTTCATATTTACAGCTGATACTCTGAGAACTAGGGGAAAATGCTCTCCAGTGCAAGTCACAGCTTTTCTGCTCTAGCCTGAGGTCTGTTCATGGAACAGTGTTATTGCTGAGGCACTGACTGCTGAATCGAGTGGAGTCCTATTGAAGATGAGGCCCAGAGATTCCTGAAGATCATATCTTATACTTCTAAAAGATGCTTCCTCCCCAAGTTACTTACCATGTAAGGTGGATATTCTGCTCACTGACAGAAAGCACTTTTATTTATCATTTCAAATCTGACACATTCCTGATTAAAATCTCTCCCACTCCCTACACACGACAGGGAATGTGACGTGTGCTCTCAGCAGGACAGCACAGTCCTCCCTTACTGCCTGCTCACACCAGTGTACACTTACCAGCCATCCACTGCTCTGTTCTTCCACACACTTGGAAAACTGCAGTTTCTGTCAGCTTTAGGCACACTGAGTTATGGTTCTCATGCAGAGCAAGCATTGGTCATCTCACACATGAACTGCAGAGACACAGCTCAGCAGGGGAGCACGGGGCAAGACTCAACTTGGTGTAATTTAAGAAGCCAGTGCTTGAGAAAGCACAGAAGACACCAAGCAATTACAGACCTCAGAGCCAGCCTACCTGGGCTAGGCTGTCCCAGGTGGATGTTACAGGATACACAGACATGCACAAGGGCACTGATTTAACTGGTTTGAAAGTTATTTCCCAACAGCCCCTTTCCCAAAAGCACAATACATTAGTAGTAGAAACAAACAGCTTTTGATTAGTGTTAAAAAAAAGTAGTAAAGTGCAATGAAGAAACTGAAAGTAGGAAATAATTTTTCTTATAGCTACATTCACTCTATGTCAGATAAACACAAGGAATGAAACTTCTCTGCAACTGTCAGTGCAACTAAATGCAGTACATTTTCAGGCTGACAAAGCCCTGTGATGCACCCAGTACCTCAACATGTTGGCCATATACCTACAAAGTTAACAATAAATCAGATGCTTTCCTGTAAGATAAGAACATTAAAGCTACAACAGCATAAAGATCTATGGTTGTATCTTCTGTGCTGCTTTTGTCACAAAAAACCATAGAAATATTCACATTTTTTCTGAAAATAGCTTTCAAAACCTAAGTTCAGAACTACAGTTAGAGAACTGACTTAGGCTTGGACTAACAAGGTTTTGGTGTGTTTTAGGACAGCCAAAGGCCCTGTCCTGGCTGCAGCTGGAGGTCTGTGGCTCTGCTGGGTGTCACCATTACCTTCTCCTGCTCTGCATGCAGCACTCTCGCCTGGGTGTTCTCATTGGTTGTCTGCAGTGAATGGTTCCTCTGCTCCATCAGCAAGTTACTTTGCTCCACGTACCTGTGAGCAGGGGAAGGCTGAGTGAGCACTTGTGTAAATACACCACTTGGAGCAAAAGGTTCAGCCACAAGAGGTGGATTTTTCAAAGCAGTTTTCTTCACAACAAGTCCCAAACAATTTCACAGGATGTCCTGCACTAGGAAAAGCCTGATCACACAAGGGTGGAAGGGGCACAGCAGAGATTGTATCAGTTTGGGTAAGTGCTTTATCTCTCTGCAACAAGTCTAACATTCCTATCACACAGTCAAGAGTTTTGATCACCTGATACCCACTGACCTTTGCCATTTCCTTAAACAAGTTATTCCCCTTCTTCACCTGAGTGGAACACAAGCCCAACAGTGGAACTAGGGATGCCACATCCCCTACAATTCCCTCCACCTGACTAAAAAGCTAGCAAAAGGAAAGTAACTCCCAGAAGCAGAGCAAGCATGCTCAAAGAAGTTGCATTAGAGTTTTTCCCCCCATTTTACACATTCATATTTATTGTACACCACAGATTTTGAGATATGCCCTGCACAGAGAGTGCTCTGGGGGAAATCCCCACACTTTTGATGCCCTAAAAAAATATTTAAAAAATATCAGAACACATTTCTAGCCTAAAAAACACTCCTCTGAGTTATGTATAAGCTAGAAAGACTTTGCAAATGCAGAGAGGCTGTGCCCTCCCACTCCTTACCTCTGATTCCGCTCAATCAACTCACTGATCTTCTCATTCTGCTCCTCAATCCGACTGCTCTTCTCAAATATCTCTTGCTTCAGCCTCTCATTCTCCTAAAGCACAGCCCAGTGTGAATATTCACCTTACTCAGAATTCCTTGCAGCAGAACCTAAACCTTTGTTTTGTACAGATGCAGTACAGGGGTGAGACTTACCACCTGTGGAAGGTGCCATGCTGCATTTAGCAGGGATCCTGGCACAGGACAGTGGTTGCCAAGCCACATGCTAGAGAATATTCTGTCTGATTAACCTTCACCCACAAACCCCCAAGACTGTAAGGTTGCTGCCTAGAAAAACTACCAAGTGTCAGACTAAGCAGTGAATAACAGAAGTGGGTGGTTCTTGCAACATGGTCCTTCAGCTGTGCAACTCTGTTCTGCAGGATGCTGTGGGTTAAGTCTGTACCAGTTTAAGAGGCTGAATTTCTCCCACATGAACCTTTTGCCAAGTCCTGTTAGATATCAATATATCAGCTCTGGCTCAGAAAGTACCCAAACCACAAACTGCTGAGAAAAGCTTCCCTCAGGGAGAGAGGGGTGGAAATCATCGTTTATCTCACCCTTTTACCTAGGCAGCTGGGTTTGGCCACACAAAAATAGCACACATGGGTAGATGGACATTTGGGTCAAGCCAGCACAGCTCTCCTCATTAGAGTAACACAGTGGGCTCCAGTTCCTCATGGAAGTAGCCAAATAAGGCTGGCCATGCTCACCTGGATGATGCGTTGGATATTGCTCATGATCATGGAGGCTTCCATGGTGACAGAGGAGATACCAGGCAGTAGGGAGCTGTTACCAGTGCTTTGTTTCTGTAACTCCTCCACCTGCAGGGATAAGCCACTCTTAAGCCAGATGACATGAATTTATGGGTGTAGGTAAGAGTCAGACATCTGCAAAGTTCCATTTCACTGCTCCATCTGATCAGCTGTGGGGTATGTGCTGCTGTATCAACTGTGACACCTCCTGAAGAGCAGCAAATCCCTCCAGAAGTGTATATTTAAGACAGTAAGAGACAGTACCTTCACCCAAGCCTAGGCTGAGCTGTTTCACAGGAGCTGAACTGCCACCACTTCAAGGCATGATAACATTGGGATTTTCACTAACTTAGCACATCACTTACAAATTTAACTCAGGCATTCAAATAGAGTCAACTCCTCAGACTCCATTTGGAGAGCAAACAGCAGGAACTTTGTTAGGTGCCTATGCCATTACCTTGGCAGCCAGATGATCCATTTTATCCACTACTTTGCTAACAGCCATTCGGATTTCAGTGTTATGCTGCCGAGCTTCTGCCATCAAAAAGGAGGTAACATCCCCAGGGGCTGGAATGGAGAGAGAGCCACAGTCACAAGGGGAAATCCCTGCATGCAGACATACCACATGCAATGCTTAGCAGTCTGAAGCCTGACAGACAGGACAGCAGCTCTCTTCCCAGAAATAAAAGGGGTGTGGTGTTTGGAAAACTAATAACAGGCATTTTCCAGACAAGAGGAACAAGCAGGTTTATGACCACAGGAAACTCTTGAGCTACAACAGCACTTAAGTCAGCAAGAGGGAAGCCCCCAGACACACTGGAACAGTAGGACACAGAGGTACAATCAAAGAACAGGAATGAAGGTTGGCTTCTGAAACTTCAAACTATGCTCCAAGGAAGGTTCAGCTACACTCAAGTCTTCACCAACAGGGATTGCCTAAATGGTTCTTTAAATGCCTTTAATCCTTAGGCTGTGCCTTTTGTTTCTGGGCTATGTCCTCTCACTTAGTAAAGGTCTCTACATGTACACTTAAATTACAGTCCCCTGCTGGCAGGATAGCTGTTTACTGTTACATTTGTAACTGGAAGCACCAGCTATATAATGTCTTCAGTGATACACAACCTTGGGAATCCACCTAGAAATTCCATCCCCTTTCACAGCTGCACAAAGTTCCTTATGGTAAGAAAAAGATGGATATTTCTTGGGAAATATTTACCCCTATTTGGTCTTAAAAACTAAGAATTTGTGCAACAGCACAGCATTACAGACAGGATAAGTATGTATATGTCTGCTACCAGTGCTATCTAAATCATTATAAATTATTTACTGCAGCTATTTCAGCCTTCTGAAAAGCATGTGGTGCTTTCAAACATACCTTGGTAAGGTGCAGGATACATCTGTGCTACAGGCTGGAGCTGAGAAGCAGATGCAGGAGTCTGGGGGTAAGGAAATGCCATCCCTGGATATGCCTTGCAGAACAAGTTCTATAGATTAGAATGTGTTTTGGTATTTCCCCACCCTCCTCACACTGAAATTGTTTTCATGTTTAAGCCCCAGAGCAAGGATGATACTTGGAAAGAAAAAAAAACAAAATATGGAATTAAGGAGCTGGAAATCAAGTTACACAATGGTCATAATAAAGGGAAAAAAACCCCAACCATTCTTTGAAGGCTTAGGTATGTGATCAGGTTACCCCAGCTTAATGTTGCCTTCTTCACTGCAATTTCAGCAGCAGCATGTTACCCTGTGTTTGTGAGAGGCAAAGATCAGCACGTGAGCAGCTCACCCTGAAGTTATGTTAACCTGGACACAAAGCTGCTCCTAGAAGGGCTCAAACAGTGCAACACAATGTGACTGCAGCTTTACTGCTCAGTGCTCATCAGGAGCTAAACAGAACACATTGAAAGCTAAGAGTACCTCACTCATACCCTCAGGCAAGGAAAAAAGAAAAAATACAACTTTGACCAAGTTTCTAGAAGAATTCAGGACATCAGGGTCAAAACAACATATCCAAATCACTGTCAGGTTAAAACTTTAATGATGGGTTTCTATTTCAGCAAGCAGCAAAGCCTGTCTTTATCTTGTTGTGTGCCACACCTTCATCAGTTCCAACAGAAGGAAAATGCAAAGCCAAAGCAATGCAATGCCATGCCACAGCAGTTGTGGGGTTGCTGTAATCTTGTTTGTTTGCTTTTATCTAGTGTTTTTATTACCAAATGTTTTTTTCCTCTCCTGGACACTTTAAAAATAAACAGTGTCTTTGTGACATAAGCCACTGACTTCCACCAGCTTCAGAAAACAGGTGAAGTGAAAATAATCACAGAAAGCAGAGAGTAAAATGTTTTGGTTTAGACTTTATAGAATTGTTTTTATGTTAGCTTTGTACTAAGTCTTCACACTCTGTGTTAAGCCCCCAGAGTTTCCTTGTTAGCAAGCAGACTGCACCACTTTACAGCAGCACAAGGCTTTTAAGAGGATTCCTCTTATGCTGGATGAAAAACTGTGACCCACAGACTTAACTGCTGTAATGAGTTCTTATGGAAAAACAGACCATGACCAAGAAAAATTTCAGCTGAAATGCTTCTGTTTGCACTTGCTTTACAGATACATGGGAGTTTTTATTTTATCCACCACAAAATCAAATATTAAACAAGGTCAGCTTCAAAAAGCCATCAGCAAACAGAAAATTAGCCCTTTTTGATTAAATTCTAAGGGGTGTGTGCTGGAAACCTGAGAATGCCAAAGAAGAGTCACAGGAAGCAGCCTGGGATTCTCATCCTTACATGGTGCTATAAACTCCTTGCTCCCAGAGATGGGGAAGACAGCAAGACTTAGAAGAAAGGACAGAAGAGACAATATTCTCCTTGATTTCATTTTGGTACCTGAAAGGCCTGTGCTCCTCCAGGCAGAGCTGAATGGGGCTGGATAGCTGCAGGTATTAATGCAGCAGAAGACACTGTGGGTGTGGAACCAGATGCTTGAGGTACTGCAAAGGAAGAAAGAAATACAGCACGACATATAACAATCATTTAACTCACCCAGTGTGAAATGGCCCTCCAAAAAAAAAAAAAAAATCCCTAAGTAGAGAGAAGTTCAACACAAGCCTGTCTGCAGCCTTGTGAAAATTAAATCTGGGCAAGGAAGTGATAAAAGGTCAAGAAGACAGTAATCTTTCACAGAAATTCCACTGCCAGTGACATTTAGACAACCTCTTTTCCTACAAACAAAGGTAGCTCTGAAGTTCACTGACACAAGATGTTATTCAGACTGATTCTAAAGACTGCTCAGCTGACCAGCAGCTGACACCACCACTCAGGAAGACAAACCAAGGCCCCTCCAGCCACGCTAGCCCTTCACTCTTCTTCCCATCTTTCACAAACAACAATAAAAAACCTGTTCACTGGGAAAGGATTTGTAAGTTCCATGTACAAGTGATATCCTAGAGAGCTCAGTGCCACCCCAGCACACATGATAACAGAGCAGCTCATGCACTGTGGCTGCTCCTCCTCACACAGTAATCACAATGGAGACAGACTCCATGGACTCCAGTCTTGTGCTCTAGGGATCAGCCCACCTGTGAAGCTCTGGGTCAACAAACCTTATTAGAAGTCACCTATCAGTTCCTGGAAGGTACTTGAAGTACTTGTATTTGAAGCCTGGATGTAAGTGGAGCTTTGCTCTAGCAGTCCCAGGCTCAGCAGCACGTTACCTTGTGTGGACACTGTGGGCAGCACAGTGTGAGCTGGCTGTGATGGTCTCATGGAAGATGAAGCCACTGGTTGTGCTGTTCCTCTCAGGGTATTTGGATCCTGAAAACATTTCTGTGTATTACAAGGAATGCTGAAGAACACAAACAGTTTCAACCCAAGATAGCTAGGTGTTATCCAGTTAACCCAACTGAACCAGACAGGACCAGTGGAACACTAAAGCCTTTTGCCAGGCAGGAGTACACATTCCCCACACAAAGGCAGAGCTGCTATTAAGGGCTCCACTTGAAGGAGCTCACACTGTAGAAAAAGTATCAAAAAATCACATTTCTATGACTGAGGTACCTCTATTTCTGAGTCACTGGAGTCCAGCTGACTGCCTGCTGTCCCAGCAAGGAAAGGCAGCATGGGCTGTCCCATTTTAGCCATCCGAGAAATCAGCTTGGCCTTTGCTACATCTGGATTCTGAAAGAAATGTTTGCAGTTAGGCTTCCTTTGTCTCTCAGCCCAGGCTTTCCAAACATTACAGGCACATATGCCAGGATTAGGCTCTTCTAAATCACTGGGTTAATGCCAGCCAATGAAAAAAAATGAAAGAACCATGTGAAAAACTGATTCTCAGGCACACAAGGCAGCAGTGTGGATTTGTTCATCTGGTTTGCTTTATGTACCTTCCCTCTGGGATGACACTGTTGCCACTACATAGAAAATCTATCCCTGCACAAAACATGGCAATGAGAAGAAAGTGTGTTAATTAAACAAGCTGCTTAGCAGTTTTATCTATGCTGAGGCACATGCAGAAATCATCTTCACATGTAGCTATAGAAATTCATAGTGAATGTCCCAACTACTGCTAACCATTTAAAAATTATGCATTTAGCAAAGAAGGCAACTACCCCTCTTAGTACCCACAATGTAACTCTGCATTTGAGAGTAGGAACTAGGGCTGAGGTTCCTCATGTTCTGCTAATCCCTTCAAAAACAAAGCCCTAATCTGCTCTCAGAAAGATGGACATTTGAGAGTGTCTTGCTTCCATGATATTAATTTTATCTTCACCAGTGCAGAGGTGAATCCAACCAAGCTTCTCTACTTCAGGCTTCAGATTAGTTAGGAAAAACCAGGACTTACTGCTAGCTGCTCACTGATGGAGTTTGACTTGGCCCGGACAGCCGGCTCCCTGAAAACCCAAACAGGGGAATGTTCATATTGGAGATGAGCAGAAGGGAAATTCAGGATCCAATATTCTGCATTTCTAAATACTGTCAAATACACCCCACCCCAGGAAAACCATTTTCTTGTATCATAAGCACTTCTTTTAGCTTACTTTTGGAGGAATCTTTGCCACGTTATGTTTAGATTTCAGAATATGACTATAGGCAAGTTCCATGGCTGTGGAATAGCTGATTACAGGAGGTTGAGTTCTGGTGATTGCTGTTAACAACCACATTCTGGTACAAACAATTTTAAGCAAGTTAAAAAACAAACTACTTATGGCAACAAAAAGAGCACTTAAACCTGAACTCCCTAAAAAAGGATGACCAACCCATTTAGTCAATATAAGAAACAAATGACAATGTAAGACTTGCAATTAAACAAATCAGCCACGAATCAAGAGCAGCTTATGACTCTAGTGCCACCTGAGGTGAGGAAGCTGTTGCAGCAGTACCTCTACGTTTAATCATCATGCTGGATCTCAGCAATACTATGCACAGACAACTTTTCATCTGTACCCACTTCAATTTAACTCTGAAAGTCATTATTCAAGCAGAAAATTTCCTGCAAGTGTTCCTCTGCCATGCTGACAGCCCTGAGCTGGCACAGAGGATCCATGTTTGCCATATGATGTGTTCATGAGCACTGCCATCCTTTAATACAGGAGTTGTTTGAACTTACCCAGGCTTTGGAGGTATTGTAGATGGAGGTAATAAACCAGTGTCTGCAGAAAGGCCATCTGAACTGGGTACTGGAGAAGGTGCAGGAGAATCCCTTGAGCTGATGCTCTGTCCATCTGAACCAGAGCCCTCCTTTACCAACTTCACCTGAAAAAGCACAAAACAAAGCAGATGTTTTTCTAAGCTCCCAAAAAAGTTTTCAGCAACACGCTTATTTTTGCTGACTACCCCTCTGCCAAGCTTGTGTGCTCCAAGGAAAAGCATACAGCTGATTCAGAACTGGAGAAGCTGAGTCTCTGGATGCTCTCATCCCTCATTATGAGAATTTTGTTTTCCCAAATGACTCTCAAATAAGGCAATGGAAAGATCCCAAGACAGTTAGAACAGTCATGTCTTAGTAAACAGCCTAGAGGGACTTTTTGGGGTTAGGGTTTTTTTTTTTTTGCTTCACTTGTTGCTTTGTTTTTAAATTAAAGATATAGATCTTCCTGAGGTATTTGGGTTGTAACAGTTTCTGAGCTGTAGCTCTCATGCTAGCAGCAGGTTTTCACCTTGGGGCTGTTGGGCAGCAGAGTCTGTCTACAAAACAAAGAGTTGGCAGGAGAGACTCACCCTCCTGACTTCCACCTCAAAGACCAGAGTGGAGTCTGGGGGGACACGGCCAGGCACCCCCTGAGCCCCATAGGCCCATGCTGGGGGAATGATGAGACACCTTCTCCCTCCTTTCTTCATCCCCACCATTCCTTCTTCCCAGCCCTTTGGTTTTCAGAGATACAACAGAGAAAGCAAGGAGTTGGATTAGTGACATTATGGTTTCTTTTAATTATACTGATTAAGACAGCTCCAGGCACCAGCTACAGAAGATTCTAAACCACACATAAGGAGACTCTCACAAAATTCTGCTCATTTCCAATCTGCAGCCCTAGTTCTGTCTTACAATGTGTCATAATGGCCAGTTATAAATTGCAGCATTAACTTAAGAATAAAGACACAGCTCCCAACATGTTCATAATGAAATCAGATAAAGCAACCTCAAGCATGAAGGCTGAAGGCTTCCAGGTTTCTGTATGGTTCCAGAAACCTGGTTCAAGTTTTAAATACTGTAACATAAGCAGCTATCAGAGATCCCATCAATACCCTGGAGAAAAGAACTATGTGCTGTGCTGGGTGCACAAACTCTGCTGTTGCAGGTGGCTTGCAGGGCACACCGTGGTGACCTCAGCACTGTGGGAAAGAACAAGGCTCCACGTCACTGAGAGATCAGTTCTGAATTGCTCTGGTTAGATTTACAAAGCACCCACAGAAACAGTAGAAAAATAGTGCATCTTGAATAAAGGGCAGCTTGTAACAGGTCAAATACAAATAACTCAGATCATGGAAGCAGCTTGAACAAAACCATCTCTGATTCACAGTCTGATTTGATGGAATAACATAAAAAAGTGTCACACCACCTGGACTGAAAGATTATTGCACAGTCCAAATCCTCACAGTTTGACTGAAGAGGATAAAGCCACTCTAGGCTGCAGTACTATCTTTTACTAGACCATCCTAGAACTTGACAGTTATCTTCACCCTCCCACAGTCTTCTCCCAGGTGGTGTATATCAGACCTATCTAATGCTCTGCTTCTGAGCTACAATGAGTGGGGAGGAATCTGAAGTTCTCAAACACAAATCATCCTTGAGAAACAGAGAACAAGGTAATAGATTAAGTGACTTCCAGACATACAAAAAAAACCCAGCCCTGAAAAAGCCAGCTCTTGGAAACAGGGAGTTTCCTCTTCACCAAAGGGGACAGCTTCTTTCCAACCCTGCCACGGAACAGGAGACTGGGCCATATTGTGTGAATAAAGAAGAAAAAGTTTGAGTGAGTCACTATTACAGAGTGTTCTTATCAAATGAACCAGAAATAGCATATATGAATCTTGAACAAGACCTTGAGTAATTCAAAGCCCTAAGTCCAATTTATTATAATGCAAGTGCCAGTAGTTTTACCTTGATGACCTTTCCAGATCCCAGCTTTAGCCTCAACAGCTTGTCTTTGTTCACATTTGAATCAAACACCTAGAGAGTTGAAGAAAAGAACCACAAAATACATGGATTTCCAAACAGTTTCAGGGTTCTGACTGCTGCTTTACCCATTCCATAAACCCCTTCAATCTTTGACATTCTATTTCCCAACCTGCAACCTTCCAAAATTAATCCTAAATAAATTTAAGACAAACCATGGCTACAGCTTCTTAAAGTGACTGAGAGCAGTTCTAAAGCTTGAGCCTCCAGCTTTGAGCTTGATGGTTAGGACAGGACTGTGCCAAGTAAAACACTACACAACAGGCTTATGTCAAGCAGCAAACAACTGTCTGTAAGGTTTGTCCATTAAACTAAGACATGAGCAGCTGAACAGCTCTTCCAGGAGGAGTCAGCTCTGCTGTGTACCATTGGTACCTAGAGAGAAGCATGGCAGGCACACCAGGAAAACTAAATCCCCTAAAATTGAAAACCAGAAAGCATTTTTTTATAGCAAGAAGATTCAGCTGCAGATGGATGCAAATGGAAACCCCTTTGCCATGGATTTCACTAACAGTAAAAGCAGAAGTGTTTAAAACAAAGTATTTCTTTTGCTTATTAGTAAACTGGGTTGGACACATCTGTAGGGTATAACAAAGCACTCTCAGTCCTTTAGCATTTGGAGATGTGCTTTGTGTCAGACAAGACCCTTCTTATCACTTCCTCAAGCTGTTTCCAAAGGAGCTTCATTGACCCCTCTCACCATTTTAGTTAATATTAATGTGTGAGAGTGCCTCTGAAAGCTAAAAGCACTTCCATCACCTCCCCCTGAACAGTAATCTAATCCCTTCTTATTCTACAGGTAACATACATGACCTCACTTAGGGTGCCATAAACGACTGAAAAAATACCTGACATCAGCACCAAAACCAGGCTTCTGTGAGTTTTTGGAGGTAGCAGAGATGTCTTTACCTGTCCAAGCCCATTGTTCTGGAACAGCCAACCTGTATAGGCAATTTCCAGAGAGTCTCCTCCTTCTACTCCCTGCCCTTCTCCCAGCAGGAGGTCCTGGCAGAGGACTGAGTCGAGCCCCGGGGAGCTGTTGTATTTGGCAATGCATACCTGCAGAAGGAAAACCCAGCAAGGTCTCTGGCCACCTGAGTGACTCAGTACAGACCTGATTCTGATGCATTTCTTACTGTAATGCCCAGGTTACAGATGCACTTAGAGGTGTTCCACCTTTCCTTGAGCTGAATTTTGCTGAGTAAATACTGTTTGCCCTACAGAACCATTGATCTTACAGCACTTGACAACCCTGACCCAAAAATCACAGGAGAAGTAACAGGCTCCCTGCCTCAGAGGTCTGTATCTAACAACTCATTGCAAATCTGCTTCAAAGTCATGTAGATACTCAAAGCTGAACTTCAGTGAGACAGTACAACCCTCACCTAAAACCCTCCAGTAAGAAGGTGCTCTCAGAGGTACATCTTGACTTGCCTCTTGTTCTAAACAAGCCAGCAAGTCACAGCTCTCACAGGGTAAGCACTTACCTGTTTACTGAAATCCATTGCTGCCTTTTCTGACTCAAACATGATGGACCAGTTTTGTCTCTGATCATCATAGAACGTACTGTAATTGTTGGGTTGAACCTGTGGGAAAGGAAATCAGACCTATGTTATACATGAAAAGATATATTCAACTGAAATAAAAAAAATAAATCCACATCCAAAAGCAGCCTAATAGAAGAGCTACTGAAATCAGGCAGAGGAATCCTGCTGTGTTACTGCCCAAGTTCAGAATGCACAAATTAGCCTTTATTTGTGTCCTCATTATTGTGGAAGAATTATTATAACTCAAACACTAGAGCAAATATTAAGTTCCCCATAGATGATGCAGCTTTCACAACCTTCTCTGAAGCTAGGGTCTATAATAAATACTGAGATTTTTAAGTGTATGCAATCTATAAGTATTGATTATATTTATATTTCAGTTGGAGGAGTCACTTTTAAAAATCCATGTCACCAGCAGCTGACTACATAACCCATTTATATTCCAAACTGAGTTCAATAAAACCAAAAAGCAGCCTAACACCCTGGTCAGAAATTTGGACTGAAATTCTGCTATTCCAGAATAAAGCTTCTATCTGTCAAACCAAGAAATTTTATGTCACCTGCTGACAAGCTGAGACCAGCAAATCAACACACCCATTTTCTAGAAAACTGGCAGAAACCAGAACTTCCTGAGAGATCCTGTTTTAGGGCTTACAAAGCTCTAAATTGTTCTTATCAGCAGGACAATGCTGAGTGTCGAATTTCAGAGAGAAAACATTTCCTTGCTGTCATTTCCTTCTGCTTGCTTGGTCGTGTCCTCTCAGTTACTTCAGTACTGAGCAAAAGGAATTTTGTTCCATTTCTACCCACGATAGGTTTGCAAAACTCAAAATGTCTCCTCTGTGATCCCAAGGTAATACCACACCTCCCACAGCCTCCCAGTTCCCAGTGTGGAAGGTACTGGGTGGAACAGCCTCTTGTGCAACACCCATGAGGAGGTGGAACAGGAGAGCAGAGCTCCCAGTGACTGCAACACCTCGTGCTGGGTCAATGTTTGATCTCAAAGGCTCCACAGAGGCTTCAGAAAGCCTTTCAGAGTGGACTCCTGTTTGCTGTAAGCCACAGGGGTCACTTCTCTCAGCCAGTCTTACCGTCAGAACGAAGCCTGGGTGGATCCTGGCAGCTGCAATCTGTTGCTGCTGACTGATGTAGAGGAGGATCCTGTACTGCATTCCACAAGAGGTTGGGCAGGGGAAGAGAGCAAAAAAGCAGAAACTCAAAAATTCTTCAATTCTCAAGCGCTCTGTCAAATTCTGAGGCTGAGGCTACAGTATTTATTTTGTCCAGTACACCTTGCAGCAGCATTTTTCACAACAAAAATACTTCATATGATTTTGTAACACCTCTTAAAACCTCTTGAAATATGCAAGCTTTATTTAGCTACAAGAATCAAGCAATTCAAACTGGTTTGCAAGAAGCAGGATGCTTTAACCAAGCCCATGGTTCTCAGTTACTGTGTGAAAAGCCAGTGCACTCACTCTTTGATAGATAAAACTTAGAGTACATGGCCCATTTTGGATACCAAAATAGCAACATTTAAGCACAGCATCTCTGTGCTACTGGACAAAGTTTAGCTTCATCCTGATTCCCACATGCAGAGATTTGCAATCCAGTTGTCAAAGACGTCCTGAATAAATATCAAAATCACTTCCAGAAGCATTAGGAAAAGAGCAGTGCCCCAAACATTGCAAAATATTTTGGGTACAAGTGGTAAGAGATCTTACAAACTCCTGGATTGCAGAACAGAAAGATGTCACCAGAGTAAATGGCTGAGCTGTAGGAAAACTGCCCAAAGCAGGGGGTTGGAACTAAATGATCTTCAAGATCCCTTCCAACCCAAACCATTCCACAATTCTCTGAAAGCCAGGAGGGCAGGAAGGCATCAGCAGCAGTGGCACTGAGACCTCCAACATCAGAAGCAAAGCCATCCTGGGGAGCTCAGAGAAACACTGTCTCACAGCAGCACACTCTGGGCACGGAAGTGTTAAAGCAGTGAAGTGTTTCTCACCTCTTTAGTAGCATGGTTCCCCACTACAGCTGCTCCATACTTCCCTTGCTTCAAGTACTGCCCATTTGTACTGGAAGACAAGTGAGATATTCAGCTGCAGAGCTGTCCCTGCCTCACATCTCTCTCTAAAGAATAAAAACTCAGCAACATTAAAGTCCAGGTCCCTTTCCTCACGCCTAAGATGTCAGGCAGCCTTTTTTACTTAATGACATTACAACTTCCCCCTTTGCCCACAGATTAGAGGTCAATATGTGATGAGCTGGAGCTGAAAATGGCTCTGCTCCCAGATCCCAGGCAGTCTCTCTAATGTTGCTGAGTTTTTATTCTTTAACGTCCAGGTCCCTTTCCTCATGCCTAAGATGTCAGGCAGCCTTTTTTACTTAATGACATTACAACTTCCCCCTTTGCCCACAGATTAGAGGTCAATATGTGATGAGCTGGAGCTGAAAATGGCTCTGCTCCCAGATCCCAGGCAGATGAGTGTCTACATGACAGCGGTGTCAAATGGATGGAGAATCTGACTGCTGCCACTTGTGCCTCAGCTCTCCACCAAGGAACAGATGAGATGTAAGCATCTGACAGAGCTGCCTGGAAACAGTGCCAGCCCCCCAGGACACAGCTCCTGTAACAGCCAGCTCCAGAACTTGCTCTTTATCTGACAACTGCATAACCCAGAACCACCGCATGGCACCTGGAACTTTTTCTGAGCAGAAACTTGCATTGACTTGTAACATTTCTACCATGCAGACACATCTAGAAGCAATGGCTTCTTCCCACTCATCCAAAAATGGATCCCACTCATCCCTTTATGACTTTGTCTTAACCTCCCAGAGGCACGGGCTGCTCTGAGAGGGCAGGAGGAGACCACAGCTGCACTCACTATCGATAGGCATGAACCGCAGTGGCCACCAACACCGAAGGGGCTCCTGAAGCTGCTGGGGCTGCAGGAGCCTTCTGGGCTGCTGGACCTGCTGAAGAACAACAAGCAGGAAGAGCTGTCAGTGACCACCACATGTGCTGGCCTGGGACAGCACTACAACACATTCCTGCCTTCAAGGACAAATAAGACTAGAAACCAACAAGCGATGCTGCAACCAGAGGCCACCAGAGCACGCAGCTGTAGGGCAGGGAGGGGATGAAGAGAACATCTGAGTGAGTTGCCTCCACAAAGCTCCTCACAAAGGCCCCGTTCTCCCAGTAAGACACAGGTCACCAAGTTTCTCTTCCCCAAGCTCAGGGCCAGTTCCTTACCAGCTGCTGTCTGACCCTTCTTGGGCTGCTTCGGCGCCGTGTACTGGAAGAATTCATTCCCCTGGCTTGAGACTGTTTGATCCAGACCAAAGAGAGAGGCTAGTCTGGCACTGCAAAATGAAATAAACTATCTGACTTTATTTTACACAAGCTTGATAGATAGCAAACACAATTATAAGTGACATCCAGTACAAAGCATTTACCATAATTTGAGAAATAAACAAAGGGAAGCGTATTCAGCAGCTCTATACCAATTAGCCATTTAATTTTGAATAAGCAGAGCACTCAGATGAAGCAACTGGGTAAGTGGTACAGCTGAGTTTCACTTCCTCAAAAGCTACTGTAAGGAACAGCCACGCACTGAAACTACAGCAGAAAAAGAGGTTCCTTCAAAGCAACGACTAGGAACCAGTCAGTTGATACAATACTGAAAAAACTGCATGACAACCACTCAGCACTGGACTTTTTCATCCTGAAATGCCAAGGGAACACATCCTCCCACTGGGGCAGACCTCCCCCCATCCAAAGGCAGGTGGTTTAACACCCCAGGCAGTAAAGGTTGTTTCCACAAGATAGGCTGGTTGCAGTTTTACTGCTTTATGCCCATCTAAGGTCACCCACTCCTGGTATCACAGAACAAGTGAAGAATTCAAAGTAGGAAGCAGAATCCCCAGAGAATACCACCACCCCCAGCAGCCCTCCAGCATTTGACACGAGATACTTCAAAAAATAACCACTTGCTAAAAAGAGAGGGGATTAGTTGGCAAGACTTGTTAAACAGAAGCTCTTTGTGGAAGGAGCCCAGATGGAATTCCAGCTGCTGAAGCATCTTTGGGTGGCAACAGGTTACACAAGGTAAGAAAAATGGAATGTGCTACAAGTGAAAATGGTATCAACAAGAGCTGAAAGCTGCTGAACACACTTCAAGTACCATTCTTGTTCAAATACTCCCAAGTCCAGCACTTTCAGGACTTATTTACACCCTTCCTTAAGTGGAACCACCCGATTCCTTTCCCTGTCTCTTCTGCCACAAGCAGCAAGTG